AGAAACTCATATAGTGAAAGGAAGGGCAGAATATTGCACCACCTCTTTAACTATGGAATACATAATTAATGTAAGTCAGACACTTGTATATTCAAACAGAACTACACTCTAACCCATTTTTTCAAGCAAAAAGATCCTATTTAGCCGGGCATCAGTGGGTCACGTCTGTAATCCTAGCTATTCAGGAGGCTGAGATCTGAAGACAGCAGTTAAAAGCCAGCCCAGGCAGGAAACTCCGTGAGACTCTTATCTCCAATAAACTACTCAGAAAACCAGAAGTGGAGCTGTGGTTCAAGAGGTACAGTGCTCGCCTTGAGCTGAAGATCTGAGGGACAGTGCCCAGGCCCAGAGTTCAGGCCCCAAAGACCAATAACAACAACAACAAAAAGATTATATTTAGTATCTAAGGTACATAAGAGTTATACTTGGTTCATACTCTGAAACCAAAACCTATGTTGAACATTGAACATACAAGGAGATCATGAATGTTCTGTGATATTTGTAAAATTTTATTCACTGAACAGGTATTCATTGACAATTCCTATATGCAAGCATGGTTAGATGTACTAGGGATCTATCTTTCTTTTTTTTTTTTTTGGGTCCGGTCATGGGGCCTGAACTCTGGGCCTGGGCACTGTCCCTCAGCTCTTCAGCTCAAGGCTAGAGCTCTACCACTTGAGCCACAGTGCCACTTCCGGCTTTTTTCGTTTTGTTTATGTGGTGCTGAGGAATCGAACCCAGGGCCTCAGGCATGCAAGGCAAGCACTCTACCACTGAGCCACCTTCCCAGCCCCTGTACTAGGGATCTAATAGTGAAGAAGAGAGATTAAGGTCTTGTCTTATAAGGTTATATTGTGATAGAGAAAAACACAGCATGAGCAAAACAGGTATTTTAAGAATTAGGAAAAAAGGTTGGGCGCCGGTAGCTCACACCTATAATCCTAGCTACTCAGGAGGCTGAGATATGAGGATCATGGTTCAAAGCCAGCCCAGGCAGAAAAGTGTGTGAGACTCATCTCCAATAAACCACTGGAAGACTGGAATTGGCACTGTGGCCCAAGCCCAGAGTTCAAGCCCCACAACCAACAAAAAAAAAAAAAAAAAGAGGAAAAAAGTAAACTAAGCCATGTAATAGAAAAGGACTGGCTGGGGGTAACTTCAGGTAGACGGCAAAGATGGCTGTGAGATGAATAATGAGAAGTCGGTCATGCAAAAGAAAAAACAAATACAGGGAACAGAAAGTGTAGAAGCTCTAGGCTAAGTACAAGCTTGCTATGTTCTAGAAAGATGGCCAACGATACAGTCTACAGGCCTAAGTGTGGGAAGCCTTTTTTTTTTTTAACCAAGGAGATGGTATCTAACCATTCCCCCCCTCCCACCTCGTTGGTCATGGGCCTTGAATTTAGGGCCTTGACACTATCCCTCAGCAATTTTGCTTGAGGCTAGCACTCTACCTCTTTGAACCACACCACCAGTTCCAGATATCTGGTGGTTAACTGGAGATAAGAGCCTTGGGAGAGACTCTTTGGACTGCAATCCTCAGATCTCAGCCTCCTAAGTAGCTATGATTACAGGCATGAGCCACAGGTGCTTGGCTTGTCTAAGTCTTTTTTGTTGTTGTTGGTGGTGGTCATGGGGCTTGGACTCTGTGCCTGGGCCCTGTCCCTCAGATCTTCAGCTCAAGGCTAGCGCTCTACCACTTGAGTCACAGCGCCACTTCCAGCTTTTTTTTTCTTTTTGCTTATGTGGTGCTGGGGAATCAAACCCAGGGCCTCATGCATGCAAGGCAAGTGCTCTACCACTGAGCCACCTTCCTAGTCCCTGCTTTATACTTTTATGTGTAAAATTTTTATAATTTATGGGGAAAAAGAACCACAAGAATATCTCTAATAAGAAAAAACAAAAGAATCAGCATGCTTGCCTTGATAGTTTCTTCTGATACTTGGCTCTGTAATGCTTTCAAAGCTTCATCTTTCTTAATATTTTCCTTTTCCATTTCCTGAAAACACAAAAATTGAAAGGCAAAATATAAGGACATCAACACTTTCACAATAGAAATATTACAAATCATCTATTCAAGATAAGTTATAGAAACATAAACATAAACTTTATAACGATGACTTTACCCCTTTGCTTTCAGTCAGGAGTCTATCTAGTGATTCAAGATGATGTTGTTTACATATTATATCTTGTTGCAACATGGATATAGTCTTTTCTTGTTCTTTAAATTGCTGGTCTTTTTTCTCTAATTGAGCTTCAAGCTAAACATAAAAAAAACCCAGTATTTTCATATTAAATTTAAAATTTGTTTGAAATACTAAAATATACTGAAAAGAATACCCCAAGTAAAAGCCATTTTTACATGAAAATATATTAGTCAAGCAATAAATACACCATACTTTATCCTTGAGAAACCACAATAGTTAATATTTCAAAATGAGTTTACACTATTTTAAAAAACATACTTTTTCAATCTGTTTCTCCATTTCTCTATGCTGTTCAAGATGAATTTTCTTTGCTTTTTCAAAGGCTAAACAAATTTTCTCATGTTCTGTATTAATATTAGTTTCTAGACTTCTTATCTTATCATTCTTTTCCTAGAAATATAAAACATATTAAAAGACTATAACTGAAAGCCAGTTTTATATGAAAATATATTAGTATTAGTCAAACAATAAATATAACAGACTTTATCCTTGAGAAATCACAATCGTTAATATTTCAAAATGAGTTTAAACTATTAAAAAATTCAAGAACATATAAAAAAACTAGCATTTCTTTTGTTTCTATTAGTATAAAAATGACCACACTTGGATAATACATTGTTCTGTTAGCCTATTATCTTAAAAACAAAAAAATAAAGATTTTAATATAATTTATACTTTGTACCATACTTTAATTATGTTTTATAATAATGCTGTAAAAACAAACATGCTGCCACAAATTAAGTACCTAAAAGTCAAAGTAAGTTTGAAGTAAAAGGAAAATTTTCTGGGTACGGTGCTGCATACTTGTAATATTTGGGAAAAAGTATCTAATCAAGACTAGTCTGAGTGAC